CTCGCTCCGATTTGCAGCTGGGCGCTCACAAATCTTGTCACCGGCGATTCAGCGATGCAAATATCTACGCAGCATGCAACCGAGCCGTCATCTGGATTCTGCGTCGGCGACATCCATTTCTCATTTGATCTTTATCGCACGGCAACATGCAAACAGGCACCACCTCCCCACTAGCTCCAGCCACTCCCACTGCCGCGCCAGAGATCCTTGGACAGACCTGATATCCGTACTGATTGTAATCAAGATTGGCTTTTTGCATGCGCCCGGCTGCCAAAGCGATTTGTGGTCTGGAAAACCGTTTCCAGCCAGCGACATTTCAAGGCTTTTCTGTTGCAGCAACAGCAGCAGCTGCTCCCCGGAATTTCCCCCGTTCTGCCCCGTTTTGCAATTTGCCAGTTTTTAATTTCCTCTGGGTCTCTCATTAGCGAGCCGCGTTTCGGGTGGCCAACCAGACCCCAGATGCCAACAAAAAGTGGGTCGAATCAGGTCGCTTCTCCAAATTGTGGGACACGCACCGCTCAGACACCTTGGCGGCTTTTGCTTTTTGCAATTTGCTATTGCCAGCTGACTTTTAGTCCGGACAATTTAGGGGCCCAGACAATGGATGGGTGTAAATCATGTTTGCACTGCTCGCTGTCTCTATGTCTGTCTGCCTGAATGGCGCTGGCTTTTTGGCCCAGACTTGAGTTGACTTTACTTGACTTGTGGTCAATGGCTTGTACATAATGGCTGGCCCAAACAACAACTACAATCGCCTCTTTGGGGCATTTGCAAACAATGACATTATGCTGACGTTTATTAATCGCATTTGCGAAATTAATGTCGTGACATTTTCGGTTTAATGTAGTTGTAATAAATAAATGCCCCGTTTATCCATAGACTTGCAGAGAAACACAATAAATATGTATGGCATAAAAAATCAATACAATAGTCGAAAAGACGGACGCCAGACACCGCAAACAGTGGCTGCTGTCAGTGCTCCAGATTATGTAATCCAATTTGCATATAACAAATGACCCAAACGGTAGCTATTTTATCTATTTTTTAACATGTTGAGACGCTGTACTTAAGAAAAATTATATCTCCCATTTATTATTAATAATTTCATACTATCTACTAACTGAATACCTTGTCTTCCGGCTTTATATATCTAACCACTCTTTGTGTAAATTTTATTATAGAAGTTAAATAACACAATAACCAAAAATAAAAAAGTTCTTCACTTTACCCCAGATGGGACTCGAACCCACAATCCCCGGCTTAGGAGGCCGATGCCTTATCCATTAGGCCACTGGGGCATGTGCAATAAGTTGTCAAAATGCCTTTATCAAATTCTGCCTGACTAAGAGCAAGAATAACAAGAACAAAAACTAATTAATAATAGATCTTTATCTCTTGAATATATTTTTGTGACTAAGCAACTGTTTAAATAAAATGTTTGCCCGAAACAAAGTGGATAAATATGTTGACTTCATATTTGTTTTTTATTTGTTTCGCTCCACAAGTGTTTCACGTTGATAACCAATGGTTTATGGGGTATATTAAGAATATTCTAGATTCCAAATAAATTATACAATAGAAGGTTAAATGATACATTTTCATTATCATTTTCTACATGCAAGATTAATGTTTCTGCGTGAGCATAAACACTTCAGAGGTGGCACAATATTAACATAGGCAGCAATATGGTATATTTCCACCCCATAAAGTAATCGATTTATAAACACGTTCTACTTTCCTGTTTGAATATATGTTTACCAGGTCTGTCGCTGAACTGACTCATGATTGTATGCCGTAAGCTCAAAACAGCATTTGGCCGGCCGCTAGCACAAGCCCCAGTGGCCTAATGGATAAGGCATCGGCCTCCTAAGCCGGGGATTGTGGGTTCGAGTCCCATCTGGGGTAAAGTTGTAATAATTTTTTTGTTTTTTTTTTTGTTCTTTTTAATTTTTGTTTGTGGTAAACGCTTGTATTATAATAATATATTGACAAAACTTAACTGATAATCATAATTTTAGATTTATTAATCAGATTACAAGTTTCAGGATAGTCGTATCTTAGAGTTCTTATTAAATATTTCGCCATATGAATGATATTTAACTAGCATGATTATAATAAAAATAAAAGAATGTGCAGAATTTCCCTCTGGGTGGCGGTGAAAGTGGATAACTATTTCGCAAGCCATTCTGCCAATAGCTCCATCAACCCAGATTATCGGTGTGGCGCTCCCAAATGTCGGGCCACCAGCCGGGCATAAACCATGGAAACTCGTCAAAGCAGTTGACATTTCGTTGTGCCACTTCCACTTAATTTAACAACTTTACGAGTGCCAAGCCATCGTCTTCTAATATCGTTTTCAGACATTTTCACCCCGGCTCTTAAATGGCAATCAACTTTCTGATGAGTTGTCAAAAACGCCGTCGCCTTGCGTTTAGGTAGATGCATCACCGCCGCCGCCTCCAGTGGGCGTGGAAGTGGGTGGGTGTGGAATGGTGTGGTTTGGCCCGGCCTGGTCTGGGATGAAATCCATCCACTTTAAAAGTTTGCCAAAAATTGGGGCTCATAATTTCACTTTCGCTATCTGAAATATGCATGGCCGTAAAATTTGCCAACGCCGTCCAAATGGCCACCCAGGGAGCCAAGGATGCACAGGCATGGCCGGAATGGGATTGGGTTGTTGGGAGGCGGCGGTTGGTTAGATGGAAGCTTCGGCCATAAGCATTAAAATTGCATACAGGCAGGGAGGAAAAAAAAATACTAAAAATAAAACTGTGCCTCGCATAGTTTCATTTGCTTTACGATTCAGCAAAACTTTGGCTGAGGATGCACAGAAGTTAGGCTGCTGGAGAGGATGATCGGGGAGGGATAACAGCGGGCTGTAAGGCAGACTCATCATTAATGTAAATTCATTGTTGCATGTTGCAGGAGCCGAGGGGTGGTGCTCTACTGCCTGCATTATAACAATTCATACTGAATTTTTGATACGAATTCAACTTTCCCACGTACGCATAATCCATTAAGTTGAAAATAGAGCCCTTTCGACTTTCGCATACCGAAAAAATACGCGATGATATAAATTAAAAATAAATAAAGGCTTAAAGTCGTAAGAATTTTAGCCTTCACTTCAAAATAATATTCAAATTAAGGTATACAGAATTACTTACAATATATTAAAGGTTTGATCAAGTTTAAGGAATAATCAAATGTTATTTTTATATATTTTATCTTTCTTGTTTATGCTTAAAAACTAGATGATACCTTAATAAATCAGTTTAATGATGACTACTTTTTGATTCAAATAAAAACCAAAGTTTAAAATTAATTTTCTTTCCTTGAACTATGACTGCCATTACATACCCATTAGGAACAAGGATTCACGGAGCTAAGGGAAAAAATTCATCTCGCCCTATACGCCGCACCTCGGCGTAAAAACTTTTTTGCGGAATTAATGGCAAGGGTACTTTAGCACCCCGCGGAAAGTAGGCCAAAGTCCGGACTCGGGCTATGTGCAACATAGAACGGGGAAACGAACTGTTAGGGGAGTGGAGCGGGGCGAAATGGCATTCTGTGAGGTTTATGGAATGCCTCCGCAGATTGCATTTGTTGCATTTTACTTAATTGAAAAAGGCCAGCAATGTGGGGGAAGGCCGTAAAAGGACAATATCGCTGTCCCTAGCCCTCTATGGGCTGCCTGCGCACTTCATAAAGCTGACAGGGCCCGGATCGGACCGGACTGGACGGGCTATAAAAGAACATGACCAAAGATGCGGTGGCCGAGGAGACAAACACCAAACACACACCAAAATAGACCGCCAACGGACCGCCACAAACGGGCAATGGGGAACGGGCTAGGGGCAACATCGGAAACAAACAAAAAGCAAAAACATGCCGGGCCAAAAGCAAAAGCATCTTTGCAACAACCAACAACAACCAACGGCAAACAAACAAACAACGAGCGGCAAAAATTATCTACTCAGATTATGTCGAGATTAATTACATACGCTGAGCGCCATTGTCTTGTCAATAAATTGTCGTTGTCGTCGACGTCGCCTGGCATCGTGTGGCTTAAAGATAAGAGGGCCTCCGACGCCGACTACCGAAATGTTAACTGGGTTTTCTTTTCTTCTCTTTATATATATATTTTTGTTGTATTTTTTTGCAATTTTTTTCTGGGCTTTTTGGCTGATGCTGTCAAAATTGGTTGCTCAACCCGGGAGCTGCAGTGCAGCCAAGCCCCTCGTCCTCGGCTAATTAATTTAGAAATGTTGGCAACATCAGCGCGACGAGCCCACCAAAGGGAGCGCCGCATGGCCGACCGTTAGCGGGTAAATAATAATAATGAAATGATATAGGTATAATCCGCCGATAAGCATCGTGCCGCATCTCTCTAAGCCAAAGTGCTTGCCAAGTGCGCGTAAATTAATTGGCCAGAAAGCGAGGTATATGTATATGCAGTTTCCAGCTCAAAAGGCTGCCGGCCAAGTTTATGTGGCTCGGATGCGGATGGTGGCTACGTCTTTGGCCAAAGGGGCACTGCTGAATTTAGTGCATGTTAAGCCTCGAATGGCCAATGTAAATTTCTAAAGGCCATGCCTTCTTGGCCAAACTCAAGTGTGCCATAGCTTAGAGGCTAGAGGGTTGAGGGCCTAGAGCGGGCGAATGATGGCCCACGAGCATGGGCAGGGCTAATTAGAATGGATAACACGATATTGGCATCGCTGCACCTGGAAAATACTGCCCAGCATAACTCCAGATGAGTGTTTCGTCGTGTAGAAGATGTGATTTGAGATAGCCAACTCTGAATAAAATATTACTGCCAAGGAAAAGTAACCCATTTCATGGGAAATAAACTAGGCGGGCATTTACGAACTGGCAGGGTAACTAATGCATATTTTAAAGACTTCATTAATTCTGCCAGATAACTTATTTACTTATGTATGCCAGCGAAAGAGAAAATAACAAACTAATAAAATATTTAATTTATTTCAATTTTCTCAGGCGATTTATTTTATGAAAGCGAAGGGGAGTAACGAGAATAAATTATGCGAAAAGATGAAAGTGCTTTCTGCATTATTTGCCACAAAATATGGTTATAGGTAAGGTAGTTTTTATATTTTAACTAGAGATCCAAGACACCCTTATCTTCAAGTATTGCCAACAATCTGGTTGTACTTCTGATCACCAGTTCACTGTCATGTATTGCTTTCTGGAACCGAAGTCCCTCTTCGGTATCTTTATACAGACTTGAAAAGTCAGAAGTCACTTCACTGCCATTGTAAATGATAACAGGTTTAAAGAGGTGTGACAACAGACCTATGAAATAATAAATATTAATTACAATTTTGAACCTTTAGTTCAGTTTAACTCACTCATAAATCGACGACTATCGAACTGCTGTTGGAACTCCTTAAAGCTGGGAAAGATTCCTTTATAAGAAAGTTTTTCCAGGCTTGCTTTAAGGGCATTGTAATAATCCACAATGAGTTGCGATTCCAAATCCTGAACTTCTTCCCTCAGTGAGGTGGTGAAGAAGTAATGCAAATCGATGGCAGGGGAGGTGTAGTTGCTAAACTGAAAATCTATAGCCACGGCTGTCTCGGGCTTACCCGCATCATCGTACTGGAACATTATATTGGTGGTCCAGCAATCACCGTGGTTCAGTGTCTGCAGGTCCTGTTCACCCACCTCAAATATCTTGGCTCCAATTTCCATTATTTGGCTGTGTAATTTCTCCAATTTCTGGCCATAGCTTTTCTTCAATTCTGGTTGACCATTTATAAAACTTAAGAAAGCCCTAAACAAGCCGGTGAAAACTTCAGTGTAACCCCTTTTTCCACGCGAAAAGAAGTGAGTAAAGAAACACTGGGTAAGGAGTTCCGGATGGCGCTGTTTGAGGATTATGGATGCGGCATGGAACTTGGCCAGCAAGTCCAAAGTCAACTTGGTATGAGCCAGTTCCAGTTGCTTCACTCGATCTGCGTTAATGTATTTGTACTCCGCCAGATCTTCCAGTATCATGGTGCTATATTCCCGATCCACAGCAATGGCATCTGCCGTAAGCTTTCCACTAATGCCAGCTTCCTGGAGCAGCTCCTTCATCTTCGGGAGGAGGAATTCATACATGTCCATCTCACGGTTGTACACATCGTACTCGAAGAACACGGCTGCCTGAGGAACATCCGGGGAACAGGCTTGCTTGACTATATAGGTCTTCTTCTGAACAATTCCATCTCCCTGCTGATAGTCCACGTAGATGCGGGTCATAATGCCAACATAGTTCTGGCCCTTACCAGTCGCTGGCTTGGCCCAGATCTTGAGGACCTTCAACTGATCATCCTTGCAGTAAGCCCTCAGCTTGGGCTCCAGATACTCCACAGTTAACCAGGTCGGCAGCATTGTTCACTTGATGAGGTTTCCCGGACTTCTAACGTCTTCAGGTTCGGCGAGTTACTTATATATTATGAAGAAATCATGTCTTATCGATAATAATGGAAACCGCGATAAGCTTTGTAATGCCAATTTGTGTGTTATCTTTGTTTTAGATTGAAAGTTAAGTTATCCAAGGTCAAGATTGCAACTAAATGCAAAGTCATTTCCAGTTGACGAGGAACCAATCTTGATTTTTGTTTGTTGAAAGTGTAAACCTAATTATTTTGTTTAATTGCTGCCCTAAAAGTGTGTTAATATCAGTCAAAAGCATTTCTGTTTGTCACGAAATAAAAGTCTAGAAAGATTTATTGCCATAAAAATAATAATCTAACAGTTCTGTTTGTTCATGAATTTCACCAGAACTCTCAATCTTGTTAGACTTTATAAATCGGAAACTGAAATAAACTTCTTCAGTACTATCTCAGCCAATAAGCGGATGGTGAGATCTAAGAGGTTTCGAGTTCATCTTTAATCTGGAAGGCTCTACATTTCACACATCGGATCAAGAGGCCTGGCAATGCTAATTTCATTAGCAAATATTTACTGGCACATTACTCATCATTATTAAACACATACCCGGGGGCGGAGCATATCCCTTAACTCCCTAAAACTGAGTGCATTTGTGCACCCACTCCGACCCCATATAATTATTTATGATTAAAGTTCCTGCTGTGTGTCTGTGCTTCGGTTGGCCAAATAAATGCATTATACAATCGAGAGTTTACTGCCAACAACAGGGATACAAACAAGCCGAGTCGAACATACGGGAATTACATGCAAAGTGAAAGTTACCAGGCTCACTCTATTCCGTTTGCTTACTCCAAAGTTGCCCTAAGCTGTGCATATAGAAATTCCATTACTTGGGAAATCATTTGGCAAGTGCATCTGGGATGTTGTCAGTTTGCTGTTGATATTTGACACACTGAGAGGAAAGATAGTTGCATCTTGTTTTATATCTATATAAGTAGTATTTACTAAGGGTAAATACCACTCCATACTGCCTCAATCAAATCTACAAGATTTATCATTTATACAAAATTTCAATACAGTTTCAAAGTAATTTTCCTCTCTGCATTGACATCTCTGGGCAGTAGTAGTTCCGAAGTTTTAGGGCTTTCAAGCTATTTGCAAGCCACGCACTTGATCCGCCCACTCAAATTCACAAACGCACGTAATTTCCCAGGCGGGCAACGGTACTTTGGCGGCAGTGACGCCATTTTGCCGGCGGCCATTTTTCGTCAGCCACTTCCGCCATCGCGTGCCGCCTGAATAATTGATGCCACGATGGCCTGTGATGGGTTAAGGGCTGATCCAGCGACTGAGTCGCTATTAATGAGTTCCCACTGCCTATATGCATAATGTATAAAATATATGTACGTATGTATATGGCTATATGGCGATGCCAATGACTCAGCCCGTCGCCCACCCACAACGCAGTTGACAAATAAGCGCTTAAGTAATTTGCCACCGTTTGCCTGGGAAGTTGGGGGAAAGGGCCTTGGCTTCACAAGTGAATATTAAATAAATTTTCCAGTTATTGCCTGCGTCTGTGCCTCGGCGGCCTCAACGGGTTAACCAAAGACTGGCGACGAGGGCTGCATTCAACTTGTAATTAATGTCAAATATTTACACATTTGCCGGAGATCAAAGGTCTGCCAGCGAGTCTCCCAGCAGCCGGGCTAATTAAATGAGTATTTATATTTAAATTACACAAAACTACTTAAAGGCTTTACCCTTGAGCCAGAAGGAACTGGATCGAGTGCACGTGGAAGTGGCACTGGGTGGACTTTTACCTAAGAACACAGCTGGCGGCTGTGAAAATCTTCCGCTTCCAGGAGAGGCGAAAAATCAACCCTTTGCCGGTTAAACCATATGGCGAGTGTAGCTTATTTCCCGAATTAATAATTATACTGGGGAAAGACTGCCACTTAATTAGCTGAAATTAGTAACTGTCTGTTAGCCTATTATCATAAATGATTTAAAATAAATCATTTCAGGTACAGGTACTGCATGCTAAAGTTTACGAAATCAAAAACTTAAAAGATTAAAATAATTTTAAGTTATTTACCAAAAAAGCTGGAATTTGTTATCATAACTTTTCAATAAAATATCGGATTGTGGATTACCGCAACTTGTTGAAACCTTTAATCCGAAATTGCACCAAAAACTCAGAACAATAATGATAAAAGTGAGTATAGGAGCCTTTAGTGTTGGTAGTTAGCTGCATAAATCAATCGTTGTTTTAGCCATGGGACATTTTCTGACAAAGTTACAGCTGAGAAACTGTACAAAAACACAGCTCTATGCACTCGAAAGGCGTGTTCTTGATTTAGCGCCCCAATATAAGTATTTTGCTTATAACTAAGCCAATAGTGGTCCAAATAAGGAATGTAATACCTCGTAGGGCTCGTAATTTGATTGCCATGATTCTCAATCAAGTTCCATTCAAATCTGGAAAAATAAAATTTTTTCCATTTTTCACAAATTTTGATGATGGTACCCCTTATCAAAAATGCGAAAATTTGCCAAAAAATTGAGTTTTCCGAATCAACTTACCAATCATAGGAGTCGTTAGTTTTGGTCATTAGCTGCTGAAAACAGTAGTTCTTTTAGCTGTAGGCCCTGATTTGGCGATTTTATGACATTAGAGCCCAGAAAGTGCTTTGCCGTGACCTTATTTTTAGCCAATTTACGACATACTTCCAATGATGTCTTTGTCATTATGTCTATTTAGCTCAAGGCAAAGTGGCTTTATCGGAATAGAGGTTACTGCTAATTCCGCTAAACTTATCCTTTTACTGGCTGCTCCTGCCGAAAACTTTGCCTGCAGAGAATATGCACAAAGTTGAAAGGTGAACTTGCCGCGTCCTTTATCCTTCACCGGCAATTTGTCGCACAATTTAGCCGGCATTCAATTTGCTTCGAACTCGCTCGTCAAAGGCTTTCAGCTTGTTAGCGCTGCACTCAATTGGAGGCATTCAAATGCCGAGCGGTCGAGTGGCAGAGTGGCAGCAGAGGGTTAAGGCTGGAAGGGGCGGCGTTGGCGGGTTAAGGGGTACAAGGTGCAGGGCAGAGCTGCTGCAATTTGAAAATTCAATCGCGCCCTAGCGGAGACAAGAACCCGTGGAGCAACCAGTTCCAAGCTCGCACTGAGAGCAGCTCGTGTGTGATATTCGGCATACGACATGTGGGCAATGCGTGTGTGCTGTGCAATCTTGGTTTTTCCGGGTACCCACAGCCCGTGTCCATGTCCGGCTTTCGGTTCTTGCTCTCGGGAGTCCGGTTCTCCAGTTCTCCGGTTCTCTGAATCTCCGGCGCTGTTGCGGCTCTGTTAGCCGGCCACCGTAGCGGAAATGTTACGGCGCACACACGAAATGCATTTTGTAACCCAATTTCCTACTTCCGGTGTCTTTTCGGCAGCCGCAACCACCCACTGCACCACCCACTGCTCCACCCACCACCCGCTGAGAGTCGTGAGAATGTGGGAGAGTGAGCGGAAATGAGTTTGGCCGGAAAATTAACCCACTCGCTCTCTCGCACACATGTGAGCTTTTCCACACATGCTCGAGTCGGGAAACTCCGAGCCGCTTCGTGGAGCTTTTCCCGAGCTTTTCTCATTTCCATTCTGACAGCTTTCCGCCGCTCGTTCTAAGCCCCTTACCCATTCACTGTTTTTTGTTATTTTCCTCATTTAATGCCGGCTTGTGCAGCTGTTTTGACCAGGTGACGTATTGTAATGCCGCCAGTCGTGTTGCCACTTTGATTGATTGGGTAATGAAGTTATTAGATAGGTGTGATTGTCAGGCCGTGCGAGATTTCGATTTCGAGTGTGGCAGCGGCGAATTAAGTGCCTCATTAGATTGTTATGATAGGTGTGCGGCATTGTGGGCGGCGCTGCAGTACGCGAAATGCAATTAATATGCAAACGAGTGAGTGATTGAGTCGTAAACTTGAGTTTTTCCCAGCATGTACAGTGGTTATTAAGGGTTATTAAATCGCCATTTCCATAAAGAATTGAAAAATCATTCGAACAAGGTCTTAGATTGTTAAAACTCAGCTGCTGTTTTAACTAATCAAAGTTATGGCTAAGGAAGATTGGCTCACCGGAAATGATAAACATGAATACTTCGTAAGACTTCCGATTGCAACAAGAAGAAGGAGTGAGTTTCAGATAGCATTATAGCAAATTAAGTTCAAGATATTGTACGCAAAGATCGTTAATAAAAAGGTATAAAAATGCAGGAATATTTCATCAATCTTCTAGCTTTCCCTAGCAGAAAGAGAATAATATCGCAACATATTTCACGATCAGGTCAACTTTCAAACTTGGCTTAGATAAAGTAGCTACCCCATTACCACTAATGTGGAACGCTTTCCCATCCGTTCACCGGAGAGACCAGAGCAATCCAATTTTGCAATGGAAAATATGATAACAGCCGTGGCCGCTTGTCACTAATGCTGACAAGGTCACATTGTCAACGTCACTGCGCGTGCGTAAACCAATAAAATTTGTCCAAAACGGCCAAGACAATAGCCAAATAAACAAAGGCCTAAGCCAGGGGGGCTACTTGGGGATAGAGCTGCGGTAATGGGGTAAATACATACAGCCGCAGCTAAACTGGCTTTAATGATTCAATCCCAAATATGGGTGTCAATAAGTTAACAGACAGACAATGTTGCACTTGCCGCGGCCAAAAGCGCGGTCTTGGCCAAAAGCCAAAGGAGGAGCAGATGACTTTGAGGCTGAAGCTGCAGCTAGCTGGAACTAGACTTAGGAGGTAAAACCTGGACCTGACTGGGGACCCAGACATCGCCACAGAAATTATGAAATGCATTTAATTTTGTTGCACACTTTTTGTGCGGTCTCGTGACTTCAGCTGCAAGGCTCTGCAGATCTCTGGGTCTTTGGAAAATCTATAAAAATTCCATTGACCATAATTTAAGCCGTTGGCTGGCATTGGCATTGCACTCGGACTTG